TGAGGGCATGGAATTGGGCAAATGCTTTACCACAATCCTGACATACATAAGGTCTCTCTCCTGTGTGAGTCCTAAGATGGACAGTGAGCTGACTTGGTTGTGAAAATGCCTTCCCACATTCCTTACAGGGAAAAGGTTTCTCTCCCGTGTGAACTCGAAGATGTTGAGTGAGGTGATGCGATTTGCGGAAGGTTTTCTCACATTCCTGACACTCATAGGGTCTCTCTCCTGTGTGAATTTTTCTATGTTCCGTGAGGTGACATAATCGGGTGAAGGTTTTCCCACATTCCGTACACTCATAAGGTCTCTCTCCTGAGTGAATCCTCAGATGTACATAGAGCTGACTTGATAGAGCAAATGTTTTCCCACATTCCTTACAGGGATAAGGTTTCTCTCCAGTGTGAACTCTGACGTGTTGCATGAGGTGATGTGATTCTGTGAAGGCTTTCCCACATTCCTTACATACATGAGGTTTCTCTCCTGTGTGAGTTCTTCTATGCTGAGCTAGGTGTGAAGACCTTCTGAAGGCTTTCCCACATTCCTGACATGGATACGGTTTCTCTACAGAGTGAATTCTTCTATGCTGAGCGAGGTTAGAAGATGTCATGAATGTTTTCCCACATTCCTGACAGGGATAAGGTTTCTCTCCTGTATGATTTCCTGCATGTTCAGCTATAAAAGCCAGGTGGGAAATGGCTTTCCCACTCTCCTGCCATTGATAAGGTATCTCTCCTGTGGGCATAAGTCTGTGTGAACTGACCTGACTTGAGTGTGGTGAAAATGGTTTTCCACATTTCTGAGATGCGTAATGTCTCTGTCTTGTGTGGAATCTAAGATGTTTAGTTAGGTCAGTTGAGTAAGCAAACGTTTTCCCGCATTCATTGCATGCGTGTGTTTTCTCTGGGGTGTGAGTTCTTCCATGTGTGGTGATCCGAAGTGACAGAGAAGAGGCCTTCTTACAATCTTTACCTTCACTGAGTTTCTCTGAGATATGTACTCTTGCATGCCTAGTGATGGGTAAGGAAAAAAAAGGAATAGATTTTATATGACATTCTGAAGGACAGGAATATAAGTGTCTGAACTTTCTGTTACATTCCCGTTGATCTACCACATGTATCCAAAATGATGAGAAATCACAGAAATCTTTGCTCCATGTATCACATATACAATAGGCGGTTGTAGGAAGATCAGTCCTCAACACCTTTACGACTGGATAATTTCTTTGCTATCAGAAAATATTTCAAAATCTGATGGAGCTTCCCTGCATGATGGTCTGCCACCGCTTCACCCAGCTCTCTAACTGTGTGATGTATTGTAAAAACAGACCACACTCAGGTGTAAGTAGGAGTGTTAACATTTGCCCATAATGAAACACAATGAAGTCGTGAGGCCTTAGGACTCTCAAATTTCACACTCAA